CCTATGCACCTCACTTGCACCTCTACCGCCTCGCCATAGCCACTGACGTGACCGTGCCATCTCAAAGCGCCGCCGCATCCCACTGCCCACACGTGGCCAGTCCTGTTCGGGGAACCTGTGGCCTAACCACCACCGCAATAGTAACTAGGGTACTATAGTGATGCTATATGCTAGCTAGTTCAACCCGCAGTGGCTTAGGGTGGCCGGCGTGGTCGTGCCACTGTCGTGCATGGCCGCGCGCGTGGTCGCCACTTCCACGAGCTCCGCCGCTCCTATAGCCTAGGCTAGTGTAGGCGCTAGGGTTGTAGATGGGTGTTAGCCCGTTAGTGGTGCCAGCACGGGTCCTAGCTGGCCGGCGTGGCCGCCCAATGCCATCGCCACCGCGCCAGCGCGCGCGCGTGTGCCCGGGGGCCTCACCGTTGTAAAGAAGAGAAAGTTTCGAGGGTTCCTTTGCATAAGTGCTTTCTCTTGGAATAGTAACACGGACTGCGGGTTAGTTTGCCCAGAGTTTAGGGGTGTTTTTGCATATGTGTCACGTCTGTGCGAGCCTTCCCGTCGCGGGCCGCCTCATGTGGGCCGCACCGGCAAGCCACGCTCACACATGCACTGTGCCACGTGGGCCGCGCGGAGGAATTGGTTTTTCCTTTTTCCTGGAAATTAGTAAATGCTTTTCCAATTTAGTTTTGAGCTGATCTTTAGTAAATTATATAAAATCATGTAGGTGTCCAAAAATTATGAAATAAATTATGTTGAGTTCCTAAAAATGTTGTCTATCTGATAGTATGGTTAGTTTATACATGTCTATGTTGATGCTAAGGTCTATTAAATCATTTGAAAGTGTTTAAGATTATTTAGATTAATAATTGTAGGAATTTTTGTGGCAATTTGGTAATAGCTTTGGTCATGAAATTTTTACTGTAGGTTAATTAGATTATTAGGTGCTCTCTGTAATTTTTATAGCCTTAGAATAGGTTGAGAAATATGGTGGCTAAGTACTCCTTGTTGTAGTATATATATTAAATCAGTAATAAGAATAAGGATGCCTTTAGTTGCTAAGATAATACGTGAAATGTTTCAAACCTGTTTAGTGGGAATAATAGGTAGCTTAGCATCGTAGTCATTAGAGTTAGCTTGGTAGGTGTATTCTTATTTTAAGAGTTGTGTTGCCGTATTACTAAGTGTTGCATCATTATTTCATGCATGTAGATAATGAGTTGGTAGAGTTCATGACTGCGGGTGAGTAGGAGTACGAGGAGGTAATTGAAGAGTACGAGGAGGAGATTCTCGTATAGAAAGGAGCCCCGGAGCCACCAATGACTGACTTTGCTGACACCACGCCTGCCCAAGGCAAGCCCTGGTGCATAACCATTATTTTGAATGATCATTGAATATATATATATATGATGTCCATTTATGCTACAGGTATTTTATGGAAACTGCATGCATAGATATATCTACCTATGAGTCATACTAGCATAGGTTGAGAAGCTGCTATGCTTAGGATTTTTGGTAGCATGAGTAACCTGCCGTTACTCACAACAGGTGATTATTATTATCACTCTTATGATTAAATAGTCAACGGGGCATAGCTTGGTTATACTATTTTCCCTATTCGTGTCGGTTAAGGACCGGCTTTTGCATTGGGTTCTAGGCAAGTCACATACTTATTATCCCAAGCACATACTTGTTTATGGGAATAGGGAAGGCTTGTCGCTCTCTTGTCATGGGATCTGGCTCTTTCCGGACCGACTGATTGGAGGTAGGGATGCTGGAGGTCTAAGCACCACACTAAGTCCGGGACTCATGTGTGGAGGTTTGGAGTCCAAGTTTGGACGGGGACCTAGACCCCTTGACAAGAGAGTGGTGGGTTGGTCCTGCTTGTACCTGGGGTACAAGCGAGGCATGTGTTTCGGGGTATCCAGCTGGGCACATTGATTCGCGAATCGATGGGTAATCCAGTACGGCTTGTCTATAGTCTAGCACCATAGTAAGAACTAGAAGATTAAAGGTGGTGAAATGGAACTGTTTGCTCAACTCTTGCTTGAAAGTAGAATAGGTGCTTATGTAAAATTGTTAGCTAATGAACTAATCATGACTGCTAATAAGACACATACATAAGGATTTACTACTAGTATTGCTTTTTTGTAAAAAGGAACCCCGCAACCCATAAAGCTTATCATATCCTTTGGAGTCGGGAAAGTATTCCCACTAGTCGAATAAGTCTTGCGAGTACATTGTGTACTCAGGGTTTATTTACTTCTATTGCAGGTGCAGCTTGAAGAGTAGCTGTTGTGTGGAGGATTGTTCTAATAGGCACAGACGGATCCTTGTATTCTACCGTTAGATGTTTATTTTAATTCCGCTGTTTAAATTCCGCACTCTGAATTTGGTACTGTAATAATGAATTTCTAATAACTCTGGTTGTATGAAATAGACTAAGTATTGTAAACTCATTCTCATTATTGGATCCTGGAGGAAAAATATGGATTTTTTGAGTTCTCCCTTGGGGTGTGCTCGACAGAATCCGCCCGATATAGCTTGCTTTCGGGGTGCTTAGTGTCGGTAGAAGACGAGCGCCTCCGAAGGTGTGCTATTTTGGGTGGTTTTCCCTCAATGACCGGGTTTAGGATAGATAGCGGTACTATAAAGAGGGGAAATCAAAGATCAAAACCATTATCTAAGTGCCACTAGGTGGATTGACTCCATGCATATGCATTAGACCTAGTGAGGACATGAAAAACCTTTGAAAATGTTTGTGAACATGCTAACTCACTTGCAATAAGTGGTGGAAGATTTGCAAAAGGATGAAAGAATTGGAGTATAGGATGGCCACTGGGGCCATCAGATGGTTAGTAGAGGCACCAGACTGGGTTGTCCCCAGCGTTCGATGGCTAACCCTAGCTAACAGAGAGGCTTAGCAATCTCATAGGACAAAGCGGGTTTGTCTGATGGGTGGCACCGAGGGTGCACCGGACAAAGCATCGGCACTGTTCATCAGGTGGCGGCACCCTATCACGCTAAAGGCTTGCTTCAGCAGAGGCATCGAACGCTAGTCCTTTGTCCGGTGTGAGTCACCGGACCAGTCCGATGGGAAATTTTGCTCTCTGGAACCTCTATGTGTTCCATCGAACTCGAGGCATCTTTGTCCGGTGTGCATCAGACGCAAGGGCGTCGGACTAAGCGCTATAGTGACCATTGGGTGCTATCGGCTCTTTCAAACGGCTAGTTGACGAGAGATGGATAGGTGGCGCACTGGACACTATCCATTTGTCCGATAAAGGGCACCAGACTGTCTGATGCCCCCATGTCCTGTGTGTAGAAAGTGCAAGACGGATAGTTGGCTCATGGGGTGTTATAAATAGGGGTTTGCCGGCTGATTGGTGGCTCTCTTGGCACTTTGACATGTCATACACCCTTGTGAGCCTAAGCAAGCACCTCTCGCTCATCTCCTTGGCCATTGCTTAATCCTAAGTGAGATTGGGAATGATTCTAGTGCATTTGCATTGAGTTGTTGCATCTAGTCGCACTAGAGATCATTTAAGTTGCGTGATTCTTGTTACTCTTGGTGGTTGCCACCATCTAGATGGCTTGGAGGTAGCGGAGGTTCATTGAGCGGCTTTGGTGATTGTTGTCGGCTCCGAACAAGTGATTGTAAGGAGCACTTGTGCTCATCTCCATGGGAGATCGTGAAGAGCAACTCTAGTGGAGTCGTGGCTAGTTGGAGTGCACTTCTTGATTGGTTCTTGCAGCACCCAAGTTGTGGGTTTGGCGTGTCAGGCCAATTAGCACGCGGACCATCAAGTTGGGACTCGCCACAACGAGGACATAGGTTGCCGGCAAGCAACCAAACCTTGGGGATATATCTTGTGTCATCACTTTCCAGTTTAGTTTGCTCTCTACTCACTTGTGCATTACTTTCATACTTGCTTGTGTGTAGTTGGTTGTTTGACCGGCTAGAGTAGTAGTAGTGTAGTTGTAACTAGTTGTAGCTCTCTTGCTAGTAGTAGCTTGTTTGCTTGAGTGATGTAAGATAGAAATCAAGATACTAGACTTGTGTAGGAAGCCATGCTTTGGTTGAATTAGAGCTAGAGCAAGTAGTTACTATTGTTATTATTTTACTAATCACCTTGGTCTACCGTCTTGTAGAATTTTTATAGGTTATTCATCCACCCTCTAGCCATCTAGATCCTATCACCCACAAGACTCACATTTGAATTCGGATCATACTCCAACAGTTGTCGTTGCCAAAAATTCTAAACCATGAACTCAGAGAGTCAGAGGCGGATGTTATTGACGAAAGAGAAAGAGATAAGCAAAAGAGTAGAAGACAAGCAAGATGAGGAGATAATCATAAGGCCAAAGGAGTATATGCGATACGAGGGTGGTAGGCAGGTCAATATGCCCCTGGCTTACGAAAAAATCATGCTGATGCTTATATAATTATTGTATAGGTGAGCATGCAAATAAAAAATAGTGCCCATTAGTCTAAACAAACTATGGTTCTAAGTACTATTACAGTTTTGTGTGCTCTTGGCATTTGTGTACTCCAAATAGCTATTCCTATGAAATTCCTATGATTCCCAACCCTCTGTTTCTCACTTCATCTCTTTCCTGTTTCTGCGTTTTTTTGTCCCTTCCTCCGTTTTTGGTTCCATTGTTCCAAAAAGGCCCTTAGAGTCATGTTGAAGATGCTCCTTTAAAAATGACATCCTAGTGGCATCAGAATTAATTTCTATCTATTTTATTTCGCGGTAGACCATATAAAGAGGTCGACCCACATAAGAAGATAGAACCAAAGTGGATAAAAGCTACCGACTGACCGGACGCTGTGTGCCCATGTAATTTCAGTTGTATACAAACAATAGAGGTGCAGATAGAGTCCAAGAGATATAAACACTTTTGTCTTGTAGGGTAATGTTTAGGTTACGAATAGCACAACCAATATATTCATATAACAGTGTATAGAACGGAAATTATTAAGAAAGCGCTATATATACACCATGCCATCATCTCTGTTCGACAAGCCGCGTTGTGTCGTAGCAGAAGAACTTGTGAAAGACATGGCCAACCGCCCTAAGTGTCACTTGACCGAAAACCTCTTAGTCCTGCTGTCTTACACTGCAACGATAGTAGCAGTGTGTACTCTGCCGCAGCCAGTGCATGCTTCAGCACCAATTTTTGCTGTAAACAAACTATGCATTGGTCCCAACTACATTGTACAGGCATGTTTCAGTGGCAGTATATCCCTAGTAGCTGTCCCTGGTGCGAAGAACAAGAACGCAAGGGCGCTCCTCCTTAACAGTCAAGACCTATCTGGGCCACTTCCCACGGGCCTCGGTTTCTCCAACTTGAGCTACCTCGCTCTCGCCAACAACAAACTCACCGGGCCAATCCCACCATCGATCGGACACCTGCACGACTCCGTCCTCGAGGTAGTACTCCTGAACAACCAGCTCTCCGGCTGCCTCCCCCATGAGCTCGGCATGCTCACCAAGGCATCCGTGATCGACGCCGGCATGAACCAGCTCACCGGCCCAATCCCTACTTCATTTTCTTGCCTTAGCAGAGTCGAGCAGCTCAACCTGGCTGGGAATCGCCTTTATGGACGTGTTCCGGATGCTCTCTGCAAGCTCGCTGGACCAGCAGGCCGCCTCGCCAACCTCACGCTGCGTGGCAACTACTTCACCTCGGTCGGCCCGGCGTGCGCAGCACTAATCAAAGACGGTGTGCTGGATGTGAGGAACAACTGCATTCCTGGCTTTTACAAACAGAGGCGGCCGGCGGAGTGCGTGGCATTCCAGAGTCATCGAAAAAAGTGCCCGGAGATGAGCACACAAGTTTTATGCCCTGCCGCAGCTGCCATGAATGCGGCAACGCTTGGGAAGAGGAGGGCAAGGGACTACTCCAGCTACGTGACGTACGCTACTCTGCATGAGTGAGCCACGTCGGCACGCAGTACGTGACGTTCTTCTTGTGTTCATGATGTGCGGTGGACCATACTGTCTGTTGGTGCTCTTGTGATTGTTGTCTGTTAGTCTGCTCTGCACGTGTGTTGTTGTCACATCTACACAGTGTTTTCCTAAACGCTAAACGGTAAACAGTCGGTCACCTACCGTTTAGCCATTATTCAGGCAAAACGTCCCATTAAATGAGCTAAACGGCCAATTAAACGGGGTAAACGGGTGATTAAACGGAAACGGTGCACCACCGTGTAGCGTTTACACGGTGTTTAAATGGGCTAAACGACCATTTATGCGAACAGTGCATCTACATCATCTCATCACTTGTACTGCTATGTCCATTGTGTGAGAAATATTTGTTCGTTTTCTGTTATTATATGCCTTGGCTGTTCCATATTACATCCATGTTGGTTTCGGATATGGCGGTGACATTGGCCATCATTACTGGGTCGTTTTGGAGGAATTCCATGCTAACTCTGTTCCGCACAAGCGCCAATTTATATCAACATTCTTAGACTATATGGGTTGTTGCAAGCATTTTTTCTTATGAGTATTTTCAGGTTCAATGTCAAATCACAAATAACAGATGATAAGGTTATTATGAGAACATTAACCAGCTGCCGAAGGATGTCAGATAGAACTAAGGTAAAGCCATGTTTGCACATCTGAAAGAGTTGGTCACAAAGGCTGAATGAATGATGCGCGTCATTCTTGGTTAGCATTCAGGCTTACTATTCCCTTCACACGCGCTGACCATGCTATTGCATGGCCTAATGTGCTCATATTACTCTTCATAGGTTGAAGCCCATCGAGGGGCTACGAAGAAGGACTCGACATGAGACCTCCAAGTGACCGCAAAGCAGGAGCCAAAGCACAGAGAACAAACCGCAACAAGGGGCTACAACGAAGCTCTTGGTCTGGGACGCTTTGAGACCAAAGAGATATGGAGCTCCAAGCTAGATCAATAACCACACTGAACCCCGAATGAGTGAAGTTGACACTCTCACAACGATACAATATGCCATCGTTAATTATGACTAAACAACTACCACATTGGCACTATTAGCGACAATGTTATTGTGCTCATTACAGCTATTTGATATAAGGGACCACCGCCACATTTCGCGCAAAAAATCGCGTAGATGGGTATGAACATTTTTTTTAACCTGATTATAGAATTTCTGAAAATTCTAGTCACCGCCAGCAGGTGATAACCTATCCGGTGATGTCCATTCTTATCACTACCGACTTTCACCGCTAATGGTTTGGAACTGGCGGCGATGAGGATTCTTTAGTAGTGATCCAACTTCATTTGAAAGAGTATGAATTTTACTGTGGCATGTATTTTTAGACATGGCTTTATATCCAGCCGTCTCTACAAATCCATTTATTGAGGCGGCTCTAGATCTAACCGCGTCTAGAAATTTATTTGTAGAGGTGGCTGCATATATAGCAGCTTCTAAGGATAGGGTCATTTGAAAAGACAGCTAAAAATGGCAGCCATCTCTACAAATACATTTTCAGAGATAGTTCATTTCTGGAACCATTTGTACAAAGGCGGCTATAAATTGGCCCCCCTCTATTCAAAAATGCTTTCATTGCTGAAAATCATTTCTGTAGTACTGTAATGAATCTGCATGGCTTCTGAGGTAAACTTAATACATTTGTTGATACCCATCTACAATTAAGTACTTGAATTTGCATCTTTCACCTACCATCTACGTGCAATGAAGGGAAGAATTAGCAAACCTGTTGAAAAAATATATAATAAGCAAGTGATGTACAGTAAATAAAAAAGTTCTTCAGTTTGACCATAACACATTTGAGTATCAGATAAAGATGATAAGTCTGAACATACATGATCAAAAGACTGAACTTTGTGTGGCAGTTATACATGCAGAACAGACGACAGCACACATTAGCGTCAGCAGATACATACATACCTCTCCAAGTTCTGAAAGTTCTAACGCACTAATGCTGATCTGTTCTTTGTTTTTACTGTTTCACTTCGATGGCAAAATTAAATAAGAAATCACCCTGACTGTAAGAGACAGATGTAATAATTATATACTCAAGATGGCAACCAAATTGTGTATTGGTTTACCTCAGCGCTTATATCTTGTTAGTATGGCAGATATTATATTATATGATTAAAAATAGCAGCACTCACCTTGCGAAAAAAAATAGCAGCACTCAGGTCTTCAGCAATATCCAATCAGCAGTCAAAGTATCAGGTAAATTACAGATCAGAATATGTAGTCAGTAAAATTAAAAAAATTATGTTTCTATAGCATACTTGTGCGAGAAAATTACTGACAAATGTAACCCACAGATGGAATTTATTGTTGTAGTGCCACTATTGCATCTACCCAACCACATATATTTAGTTAAAGAACTTAAAAACTTCAAATGCATGCAAGAGTCTACGGGTCTGTAGTAACTTAATTAACAGTGAACTGGTTTATGTAATTTGTACTAAGAACATGATCATATATACAAACTAGTCAAGAATTGTAAATTTATAATACTGGATTCATTAATTTGGAGCACTGCTAGATGAATTAAAAAGAAAACTGCAGCGTATATGTATGTGTGTGTGCGTGCACGTGACGTGTAGCTACAACAATATGTATAAACTGCTGATAACATCTATTTCCATGTTAAATCTGTAGCTCAAGTCAAGGTTTTATGTAAACACATTCAAATATATAAATAAGCACGCTTCCTAGAGTGCAGCCGCCTGAAAACGAATAACCAAAGGAAGCTGACAACCAAAGGAAAGAAATCAAGGAAGAAGAAGCTCCAAAGCTATCTGATTTAGATCCAATGAATTAGAATCATTGCCTGATTATATGCAAAATTTCAGGCACCTATAGCAGGTCCCAAATAAATGGCAAAGCCATATATAGGAACGAAAAAAGTATGTATTTATAAAAGTAATTGGTAACTAAGGCCTATTATTACAACTAGACAAATATAACAAAGTAACTATTTGTATTACAATATGATCCAATTAGAGAGAAAGAGAGAGAGAGAGAGAGAGAGTACTGTGATAAAAAAGTAACTTTAAATAGCTGTGAACAGAAGATGTCCCATGAGTTTCAAACTGGATCATGATCTTTACGACCCATGCAGGGGCAGGGGGTCCATTGACTAGTGCAGCTCAAATTCGAAAAGGGAGTACGTACGGCGTGGTGGTTGCTGTCGCGCTATACTGGCTGTTGGGGCAGACGGTAGGCGGCTGCTGTCACGCTAGCTCGATCGCTCTGCTTGATCAGTAAGGGACAATATTGCAAGCTGGACGCGCTGTTTATTTGGACGTGGACGAACAAGTGCAGCTCATATATATCCCGTATACATGCATGCATCCGTAGTCGTCGCTTGTGTCACGGACCAGGCGTGCGGTGGTGCGGTGCAAACGAGAAGGCCAGTACTCCGATCATCCCAAAATAACTGTCATTCTCATTTCCCGAAAAATATCTTTGACTAATTTTAAATAAAAAATATTAATATTTATGATACACAATTAATATCATTAGATAGATCTTGAATCTATTTTCATAATAAATTTATTTAGAGATACAAATGTTACACGTATTTTCTATAAATCTAATTAAACTTGCAATACAGAAAAAAAAAACGATAGATATTTTAGGACGGAAAGAGTACCTAGGTAGCTAGGTCAGGCCGTCGGGTCGAATTCGTAGCTCGATCGTATCTGCACGTCGTTAGGTTGGTCGGTGCACGCACCCATGGTATGGTGCGCTTCTTCTTCACTGTACCATACTGTGGTTGTACGGTACAGAATCAATTTTGGAAGCCAGTCAATTTGATTAGCATAGGCAGACACAAAATCTCCTTGTCTCCAAGAATTTATAGCAACTTTTAGAAGTGGGCAACCTATTTATAGAGATACTCAGAAAATAGCGGTCTTCTAAAATCAATTAATAGAGGTGGTGTCGCGGGTTCGTAACCGCGGCAAGCATCGTTGTTCGTTTGATGTCGGAAGTGTGGGTCTCCGGTGGCTCAGGCGCTCAAGAACACAAGAGAAACATGGAGATGTATCATGGTTCGGGCTATCGAGGCCCTATGTCCAGCAGTGAGGAGTTCTTCGTATTTAAGAGCACCCAAATCGGGAGTTACAACGAAGGAGAAAGTAAGTTTGGTAGGGGATCGCTCGGTGCTATCCATGACTCGTCGGCGGTGAGGTTTCTTCCAAGCAAGTAAGGGAATCGACCCTCTCTTTTGTTGGATTGCCGGGGGAGGAACACTCTGGTGTTCCCCTCGGTTGCTCTCGACTCTGTTTTCGCCGGCGGAGTGTCTAATCTGCAGGCTAGTGAATCGTCCTCCCGTCTCTGGGAGCCGACCCTCCCCTTATATCCTGAGAAAGGTCGGGTACAAGGCAGTTTGGGGGTTTCGGTCTATGATCTTCGTGCGCCAGGCATAGGAGAGTGCTGTTGTGGCTTGGATGGACCTTTCTTTGGTTGTGGAGTTGGAGTAGCTATGGGGTGCTGCCTGACATCACATATGCCCCTGATGCTTGACCATCAGGGTCTGTCCGCTGCAGTTCGGCCTCCACAGGGTGAACCATCTCGAGGCTTCCATGGCCATGAAGGAGACCCGGCTTGGGGGCTAACGAGTGGGCCCGAGAGCCCCGCACCCACGGAGTTGGTGAAGCCGTTTGTCTTGTTGTGTCACGCAATCTGTGTGACACTGTTGAGGGAGTGGCCGATAGCACCTCGCGTCCGTTGCATGGGCTAGTGCCATGGAATCTATGTACCTATCAGGGCATCGGATGCCCAGCGTGTTGGCCATAGCTCGGGACATCGGTTCCCGAGCACTGGCTCGGGTTGGTGCTGGTGCCGGAGTCAAGCACAGGCTGCCATCGCTCGGGAGCCTGGTGCCCTGGCGAGCCGTCGGGCCCCGAGTGCTGGCTGCGGGCATGCTCGGGCTTGACCTAATTTCGACCAGAGGGTGTG